TGTGGCTGATGCACTATCTCGTGGCATACCCATAAACACGCCCGAAGTCGAAGACACGGTCGCAGAAGAGAGAATAGTGTGCAGCGTCGAAGCACAGGAAGCCTCGAAATGGTTGGATGAATTGCGTAATGATATTGATTATGGACCGATCATCGTTGCGCTGGAGGAAGGAAACCTCGAAAAAGAAGTGAAATTGCCATCCTCACAGAAGAGAGTTAAAGTTGCCGATTTCTTAGTTGAAGAAGGCCAGTTGAAGTTCCTACAGAAAGACGGAACAGCGGTCCCAGTCGTTCCGAAGGAACATAGAAGAAAACTTTTCGACGAGAACCACAGTGGCTCTCTAGCAGGGCATCATTCCGCTAAGAAGATGCTGAAAAAACTGCAGAAATTTGTCTTCTGGGATGGTATGCACAGCGATATCTACCGCTGGGCAAAAGGCTGCACGAGCTGCTTGCTGACAAATCCGCACAAGCGCATGATTCCGCCGGTGGAACCGTTTGTCACAGGCAAACCATTCGAGATAGTCGCAGCTGACACACTGGAGATGAGCACCAGTCTGTCGGGGATGAAATATGTGCTAGTCGTGGTCGACCATTTCTCCAAATGGGTAGGTGCATATGCAATGCCTGACAAAAGTGCTGCTACAGTCGCGACTACTTTATTTCATCGTTGGATATGTGAAGGAGGGCGTTGGCCCAAACAAATCCACACCGACCGAGGCACAGAATTTCTGAATTCCTTGCTGGATGAGCTAGCATCAGTGGCTGGAATTAAGCGCTCCGTCACCAAGGGATATAACTCCAGAGAAAATGGTGTCAGTGAACGTGCTATCGGAACTATTCAAAGGATGCTGAAAAAGAAGGTGGAAGAGCCCGATAAATGGGACGTGATGCTGCCTCATGTGGTGTACGCATATAATGTTACCCCACATGAAGCTACAGGTGAGAGCCCCTTCTTCATACTTCACGGAATTGACCCTGTCATACCTTCATCTTCATCTACCATGCCAAGTGCTGATGCTTCCAAGTACAAGGTGTTCGTGGACGATTATCGAACAGATTTACTTAATGGACTTCAGCTAATTAGAGAGGGGGTACGAGCTAAAAATGAGAAATATAGGGCTAAAGTGGAGGAAGTGTATGACAAGCGTAAGAACGTGGACGTTCTTTCTCTTCCAGCGGTTGGAGGAAGGGTGTTCATGAAACTACCACGAGAAAAGGCTCGAGGAAAAAAAGCAAATTGACCATAGACTGGGACGGGCCGTATCGCGTATTGCAAACTGACGAAACCCCAGCGCTGTTCACTAAAATGGGCGGCAATGCAGATGCAATCAAAGTTCAGTATGACTTATTCCTCACATGCCCAGATGAAATTCCAAACGAGCAAGTGAGTGTTAAGACCAGGAGGAAGAGAGTGTTAAAAATTTCCGTACCTGCTTCTCAACTTGCTCATTCCAGAAAGGAACACGGGTTCGATGTTCCCGATGATGGTCACATCCTGCACGCTCAATTCCGATGCCAAGGCCAAGTTTTCCGGCGATAAAGGAGGGTCGAGCTTTTCACTGGCGAACTGCTGTCTGTCGAAGACGTTAACCGCAGGAGACCTGATTACAGCACTGTCTCATCCGGCAAGAGCCACGCCGATCGAGTGCGTATTGGATGCTGGTCGCGTCTTCACAATATGGACCCAACCCGGCTCCGTGGCCCTGAAAGTGTAGCGCATCATGAACTTGGACGACAAAGTGATTGATCCGCGGGCGTTGGGCGTTGCATATGCGGTGTTCAGGAACAAATGTGCCCATATCAGTAACATTATGCTGGCCATTGACCCAGCTTCCATCATGCGCCACAGGTCGCTAACAGGAGGATGGCCGACGGTGTCGAAAAGAATCTTCGAGCTCGGCTGGCTGATTGCGAGGAAAATCGAAGGGAACGATTTTGATACCAGTTCGATGTTGGACCGAGTGCATAACCGCATTCTCATCGTTGTCCCCATAGTATTGAGAAGAATGGCATGGATGTCTGGCGGCACTCGCACACGAGTGTTCTTTTATGGTGAATTTTCAGCAAATAAGACGAAGGTGGACAGCCTTTTTACAGAGGATCTTGGAGCCGTAGTTTTCATCCTGCCGCCGGAAGAGCCGCGCAAAGTAAGAGCATGGCTCGCGGTAATGTCTGCTATAGATCTCTGGACTGCAGCCGGCACAAAGGTGTACCTGGTGAATGGACCCAGAACATCGAACGTGGTCAGTTGGGAGCACGTCACCATCAAAATGAAAAGCCAAATTCCGTTCTAAGCTATGTGTCAGGACAGCCGGAACGGGCACAGCTTATTGTGGATGTTCTGCAGCAGAACATAGGACTTATGGATGCACGGGCAGCTTGGGCTGCTGTGGGAATACTCAAAAACGCTGAGGAGTGGATGTCCGAGGAAAGTACCCGCACCTTTTATCGGTTTCTACGATCACAACTGGAGCCCATGTTGACATTGGAAGAGCTTCGGTTAGCCCCTTTTCGAGCGCACAAACGAAGAGAGCCAGGAGAGCCGGCCCTCCCGAAGGGAAGCTCTGGTGAGCTTCATGGTGTCAATCGAAAACACCGGAAAAGGGCGCAGAACAGATTGCGGGATCAGATCAGGGCAACCACCCTCAAGATGGAAGAATTGTAAGCTGTTACGGTATTGTGGAGTGGAACCACAAGGTTTTTTTTACCCCCCGGCATGTCATGAAGGTGGGTCAAAATATGACCACCGCAAGATCTCGGCAGCGCGGGAAAACGCCGCATAAAAGGGGCGCAGGAAGC